TTCGATATACACAAATTTATTATTTCATTCTTAAAACATGGAAACAATGATGATTATTTCTTATCTTATTTGTAAAAGAAATATAAAAATTAAAAAAATTATTTGTATTTTCTATTGATATAGAAATGACAAATCAATGCAAATAAATAATAGTGTTTCTAGATACAAATGTAAATACAAATGTACATTGTTCCATATTTTAAGTATCGAATTAGTTCATTCAGTTAAATGTAAGCGCAATTATAATAGTTATTTATAAAATTACAAAAACAAGAACACAAGAAAACGTCGATCAATCGAAAATCATTTTTAAGAGGCTATACTTCTAATAAGAAAAAAAAAAAAAAAAAACAAATTAACAAGTTTCATACGAATGCAAAAAAAAAAAAATTGCACCGGCTAATTTTTGAACGCTATTCACCATACTGTTGTTTTTTCCATTTTTATTTTATAGTACGACAGGCACGCACACTTACGCACACGTATACTCTAATATTTGGACATTTGTACTTGAAGTATTTATAATCGCGTGTATAACAAAATATTCGAAGCTACATTTTTTCTCGGCTCTGAAAATCTGAGATTGAGCCTCATCTATATAGATGTAGTTTGCACTGTCGTACATTTAACTGTAAACTTTAATTTTTATAGCAATAAGTTCAGAGAAATATATATTTTAAAATTAATTTTAACGACAAGTTTATTAACGTTATATGTATATATTCGTATGAAAATTTGGAAAAAAAAAATTTATTTTTTTTCATATAATATGATGAAGTTTTAAAAAGTTTTTTAGGCATTTAAATAATTCGAACATATCTTAGGCCTACATTTAAAAACATCTGTTCAAATATAAATCATTTTATCGATAAAAATAATCAAAATGAAGTAAACTTTATAAAATTTTTCTTGTGCCAGAATCATATATTGCATAATTATTTAATTATAAGTTTATTATATTAGAGGAACAACGTAAAATAAATATATATAAATATTCCTCCTAAATTAATAATTAATATGAGAACATGAACGAATTCTATAACTCGAATCAGTTAAACAGTTTCACAATGCAAACCATACCACAGTCTTCCAGCTTAAGTAATTTGGTCGAGTTTTCAACATAAATTTCATCTCCTAATCTTATCGTACGATAGAAATATCGTGTATTAAACGACGTAATGGATCGTCGTAAAATCCGATTTATCAGTACCTAAACAATCATCTCGAAAAATGGGAGATAAGGATTGTTTATTATTTTTTCCTATATATGGCCTGTATTCACCCTCGGTTAGTTAATTCATGTAATCTAACGTAGGTGCTTCAGGTACTCTTTCGAACAAATTTCTATTTAATCTATAACAAGAATACCACGAATCTTAATAAATAAATAAATATAAAAGCCGTGATAAAAATTATTTGGTAAGATTATTTCGCCTTTGCGAGGAAATCGAAGACAGACATGATTACAATTATGATTTACAAATCATGAAACCTAAATTTAAATCATGTTGCAATAGTTTTATCGAAAAAAAAGACAAGGTTTCGTTTCATTTTGTGCAAGATGATAATTCTTATAATAAAATGTTTTTAAGTTTTCGATATGAAAAAAAGAATCCAATGATATATGTCTTTTTGTATGAAAACTTTGAGTTTAGACTAGGTTAAACGATGAATGGAAGAAATATTTGAAGATTACATATGAAATCAGGTTATGTTCATTTAATATATTAAATTATAGCGATAACTTTGTTAATTCTAAACTTGCAAATACCCAGATAATTGAAACTTGGAAAGATATTAAATAAAAATTTAGAAATAAAAAAGATAAATTCCATGAGAAAAATATCCATGAAGATAAATTTATCTTAAAAAAATATCAATAAGTAAAATGATGCAATTGCAATGATTCATTCATTTTAAACAACTTTTATAAATCATAAAAAAATAAACTTTTTTTAAAATAAAAAAATTTGTTTTATAATTTTTTGCAATTTCTGTTGTTTCCGCACAAAACTATCAACATATTTATATTTCTCTATTGATACTTTAATAAATAATATTTTGTTCATAGAAATCGCTCATCTTGCATATAACCAATAAAATTTTCATAAATTCAAATAAATTTTTCATTCTTGTCTTTTAAGTTTCGAAATAATTTTGAACGACTTACGAATAATTAATTGCATTTTTTTGCATATTGAATTGATAATCTAAATACCTACATGTTTTTATTTGTATAAATTAAATCTCGTTATTATCTCAACTACTTCGATGAAGTATATAATAAAGAACGAAAGTAAAACAAATATGCTGAAATTTTGTATAAGAGTAACAATCATTTCGCAACAATTTCATTCCATTTAAGTTTCGAAACGATGTAATACCTAATTAGCATTGTATATAGTGAAAATGTTTCTAATATAGTATATCGTTGCGTATTTATCTTAGCTATATAAATATGAAATGTAACTTTTAATTTTCTTTAAAAAAAATAAACATAGAAAATTAGAAAAATTATTGCACTTAAAATTTTTTAACTAATTAACTTTTTAACTAATTAATCCCATGGTATATATAATATGAAATTTCTAATTAATTTGTCCCTCTTTATTAAAAGTTATTTGGACAAAGAAAAAACGAGAAAAGTACCTGATTCGTATCGTTGATCGAGAAGCTCGATAATTTTCATCACTCTTTAACCATATTACGGTTTCTTACCCATAGAAAAATATTTTTTATAGAAGTACGAAAAGAAATGAGAAATTATTTAAACAATATCTTGACCGTTTTCTACCTGACACCCATAATTGTCTTTGTCTTTATTCGCATCTTTATCTTTATTCTCATTTCCTTCTTCCACTATGTCTTCTTCTTGTTCCTTGAGTTTCCCTTCATTTTCAATGGATGCTAAATCTTCATTCTTCTCTGCCGAATTCGCAGAGTGTGATTTGTTTAACAAAGAACTGAATTCTCCAAATTTTAAAATTTCTTCCATGGCTGACTGTTCTAAATTCACCTGTAATGCATATTTGTATTATTATTAAATCTAAATTAATTTTCCTTTTCTATAAATGATAATATATTTTCTATAAATAATATATCTTTTCTATAAATAATAATAAATTTTATTACATTAATATTTTTCAATTCATAATAATGAAAAAAGATAAAAAAAAAAAAATTGAAGAAAAATTAGGGTCATTCGTGAAAACATTTACATATCACTGATTATATTATGCAAATGTTATGAAAATACATCTAACCTTTCTCGGTCTACCTCTTTTTGCTTTACCAGGTACAGAGGAAACCGACTGACAACTGGAACTCGACAAGTTATTCTTTCTCTTCGGCCATTGTAAATGCGAGTCCAAATGCTGCTTCAACTTGTCCTGTCTAGCAAACATTCGTGGACAAATACTACAGGCAAAAGGTCGTTCACCTGTGTGAACCCTTCTGTGTCTAGCCAGATGAGAAGCTCTCGTGAAGGCCAAAGTGCAAAGATCGCAGGAAAAAGGTTTATACTGAGCTTTTTCAGACTTGGTTTGTATCGGCCTGGTCTCTTTTCCTTCGTTCAATCCTGATCTCTTCGTAGATATATCGCCCTTTTTCTTCATACTTAATCTTGAATTATCGTCCATACTCTTCGAAGAATCCTGAAAATAAAATAGTGTTATGATGAAGAAAAATCGTTTCCAATAGAGAATGATTTTGAACTTACAAGAACGTACGCAACAATTGAAAGATTCAAAGGCTAATCAGTGTAAGTCAAATTCTTTGAAAATGATTTGCATAGTTCAAAAATTATTTTATCGTTTCAACTTTAAACTTTCAATTAAGAAATCAATTAATTCAATTATTTAATATTGATTTAATTGATTTGTCAATCGAAGATTTAAATAAAGAAATTTTTGAATTATGTCATATAAGTCATTTTCAACAATATGATTTACACGGATTAATTTTAGATTAATCTTATTATCACAATCAATTTGTTCGCAATATCACATCCTGCCTGATTATAAATATCGATTAGCCAAAATTAGACCAATGAATAATTAAAATACCAATGAGAATGATTTTCAATCATGATCATCTTATCGTACCAGACTCTCATCTCGTTCTTGTAAGTCGTCGTTCATCTGTATATCCGGTACCGTAGGATCTGAGGAAGCGTTATTAAAATTCGACTCGCATTTAACCGCACTCGAATCTTCGTAACTCTCCCTCGTTGAATCTTCCTTCGAAATAACGCGATCCTTCGATCTATATTCCAATATATCATTATTCCTCGTCGAACGTCCCACGGAAACTCTTTTTTGACCTTTGAACCTCGTCTCTCGTTTATACATAGGAGGCGGCATACGTCTCTGAAATGAGGAAATTATGTATTATCGGTTTTTAACAAATTATTACGATTCAAGCCAATTTAAGCAATTTTAATTAATATCCTTCGATTACAGCTTACGATTTGCGTGTCAGAGGTATGCAACGGTTCGTCGAACGCATCCTCGTGACCGTCAATCACCATTGGATCGTCTTCCACCTCGATCTCCTCCACCTTGATGTGATCCTCTAACGATTCTATGGAAGACTGTTTCGGCAAGAATGGAATCACGGACGGCTCCTTCATGTACTCTGTCGTGTGAACTCTCGCTTCTATGTGACACCGTTGCATTCGCGTCTCGACCCTTGTGTAAGGGCTGCGATTGTTTTCTTGGTTTCTCTGGTCACCAGAAAGGCCACGGATCTCTAGATCCGTCGCAGTCTTGATCAAAGAGGGCAAATGCTCCTCGGCGACGTCGATCGAACCGCGATACATGAAGTCCAGAAGACATTCCATCTCTTCAACTGCCACACCTGCTCATTCGAAATGTAAATTGTATTAATAGATACAGTTTGTGAGTTTGTTAATTCTTGAATTTGATTGAATTAATTATTGAGTTTATTTCATGATGAAAATTTTTGTTGATAACAAAATGTTATATGTTTTAGAGTTTACCTTTTAAAATAAGAATTGGCTGTTCACCGTAATGTTCTTTGAAGACTCTTTCGAAATAAGGACTACACGCAGCCAAGACCAATCTATGCGCCCTCAACATTCCATCTTGACAAGCTAACGTTGTGTCTGTCAAGGAACCACTTTTGTACAATCCTTCGAATAATCCAGACAAGTTGGCTAGATGATTGTTCCACGTGAGGTTAAATGTCTTTTCACCCATTATTGTGACGTGTCCAGTGTTGTCTATGAAATAAAGAATGCATGTTCATGCGCATGAAACTTTTTTTAGAATTTTATCTACTAATTGATAAAAAAAATATATATTCAATAATAATCGTTTCTTATAAATTATTTTTAGCGATATTAGGAAGAATCTATCTGAAAAAATTAATGATTCGTTAACAACAATAAAGTATTGCATAAAATTTTGTTAATTAATTATTGATTATTAATTAAATGGATATATTCATAAATAATATATTTATATTCATCAATATCATATACTTTATTTTATATGTTTAATATTTACCTTTATTAATTAACGATCGTTTTATGTAAATTATTTTGAGCAATATTAAAAAAGAATCTGCCCAAAATTTTATTCAACACATAAAGTTATGAATGGATATATTCACAAATAAATTTGCATAACATTTGTATGTCAATTATTTTGAAAATTTCGATTTTATTCTCCATTATTTTAATCAATATAAGATACAGATATCTTCGAGAAAGTACAAATACATCGAATCGAGCAACGACTGAAATTCACAATCAATATCAGGAAAATATTTCATTCGTATTTGTAAGTGTTATATCATAATTGAATCATACTTGTACATTGATACTGACATTGAAACATCAGTTCATTTCACACGTTCCACGCAATTATTCGAATCCTTTGTGTCGAGATATTTATATAATAGTTCGCTTCTTATTGTTATACACATGCGACAAAGTCTAACAATGTTGGTATATGACACTCACGTGTGCACGTGATATTCGTGCAGTTTAAGCGTTCGCAAAATTCACGAAGTTCATGAACGATAATTAAAATCAACAATAATTTATTATCACTATTGTAATTGTTTGTAAGTATTTATTACGAAAAAAATTTGACAAAGAGAAAAAGAAAGAAAAAATTTTTATTGCATTGTTGAAATTGGAATAATTATTCAAAAATTTAATTAAATTCGTAATTTCATTATTAATTAATTCTATTTAATGAAACTGAAAAGATTATTTTGCTAATTCTCTTTTTAAGTTAATTGATATATGGCAAAATATTACTTATACATTTATTCAAATATTATTTCGAGTTACATACATTTTCACGCATATACGCTGCATACGAATGAATATAAAAATAAAAAATCATTTACTATGGAGGATACAAAGTCGAAAGGAAAAAACAAGGATTCAATTATGTAATTGTAAGATAAGATAAAAAAAAACAAAAAATCGATTCTATGAAGAAAAAATTAAGAAATAGAAGATGTCAATATACAAAATTTTCAAAGAAATTTAAATAGAATTATATTTAAAATACAAAAAATACACTCAATAAAGAAAAGAAAGAAAAAATTACATAAAAATCAGAATTATAAAATAAGAAAAAAAATATAAAAAAAGAAAGGGATCGCAAAAAATAAAGTGAGGTTACATATCTTCTCGTTTTATCAGATAAAAAGAACGAAAAAAATCATAAATTTTCTGGATTAAATGAAGAGAATATTAAAATAAAGAAACATTTAACAGCATGATAAGAAAAATTATGTCAAAATTATGTTTAAAGTCAGGATAAAAAAAAGTAGAAAAAATCGAAGAATAATCGTAAAAAGTGAAATAAAATTACATATCTTCTTATTCAATTATGAAAAAAAAAAAAAAATTATAAAATTATCAAATGAAATAAAGAAGAAAATTTTATTTAAAATAACATTCAATCATGATTCAATATCATGATAAAAAAAATTAAGATGGAATTATAATTATGTATAACTTCACAATAAGAAAAAATAAAATAGAAAAAGAAAAACTTACAACGATCGCGAGAAGCGAAATGAAATTGTATATATATTTGAATCAGGTAAAAACAGAAACGAATAAAAAGACATTGCGAAATTATCAAATAGAGAAACTCACAATTTAAATACGATCGCAATACGATATCCGGCGTAACGTTGTTATTTATATCGCGTGAAATAAAATGGAACTAGGGAAGAAAGCTAGGCTAGTGAAATACGTGGTCATAGGGAGGATGCACAGTTAGATGTATGGATACACGGGAATGTAGTGGAAAGTGGGCTGAAGAAGGGCAGAGCGATCTAGCGGTGGTCATGCGCAGACGTGCATGGCTAGGTCCGATCCATAATTTCGTTGGTGGACCCCGTCACGCATTTGCCAAGGGGCTAGGCTCGTGTGTCGCACCCTTTTTTCCCTTTCGTTTCGAAGCTACGTCACACGAAGGGGGACCATGAAAATCGACGACCATCTACAGAGAGAAAACGGCCCCCTCTGCGTGATCGAGGATGGTCGTGTTCTTCTTGGGAGAAAATTTTAAACATGCTTCTTTTTGGCGACAGAAAAAGAGAGAAAAGACACACACACACACACACACACACACACACACACACACACACACACACACACACACACCACATATACTTGTCTAACTACGAAGAAAAAGATACTAAGAAATGTGAAGTAACAATATAATGTCATAGGGATTTAATTCTTTACTAGTATTTTTTGTGTGGAAAATAAATAAAAAAAGAAGCATTATTAAAATTATAATTAATAAAATAATAAAATTAAATTCATTTATCATACGATTAAAATTTCAAGTTGAATATTTGAAAATTAAATACATTTATATAATATATTGTAAATAGATAAATTGTCACTAATGATAAAATTTAATTATTTTTTTCTTCATTCTGAAAATATGATAAAATTGATAAAAAGTGAGTTATTTAATATTATCAATTTAAGATAAATTTTATTGTCGAGATATTTTCATATGTAAAAAAAAAACAAGATAAAAATTTCACAAGGCTAAAATAATATATGTTTGATTAATAAATATTCTTATTAGTTATCTAGTTATTCATCAAAAACACAAAACATCAATATCATTAAAATGTATATATCTAATATGTATTATTATTAATTTTAAATGATATAAAAGTTCAACGAATTACAATCACGCGAAAATTATTTAAAATTATTTTTTAGTTTTTGAAAATCAATTTTTTTTTATTATATAACTCAAAATTCTAACATTATATAAAATATATTAAAATAATATCAAAATAATATTTACATATTATTAAATAATATCAAATTTATGACATTTATATACTTGTATACTATTTTTAGCTATATAATTTATACTATGATTTGTGCTATATAAATTAATTAGGTAATCTTTACCTAAATAAGGTAAAGATACAAATGAAACAAATATTCATCAAGATGAAACATTGACGTAAAATTATTCTTGAAAAACACGTACAGTATATCTAATATGTGCATTGATTACGTAGCAAATAGGTGCACGCAATAAGAAGATAGCTTAATAACAAAGTTCAACTTATATTTTTATAAATTCATTTACATTTGTTTAAGATAATCATAATTTGTCCATTTTTAATAATAGATACAATCTTTAATAATTTTACAGTTTTAATCATATATTGAAAGATTTCATTAATAATTCGATATATATAACACTGTGATAAAAAAAACAATTGATATCAGGTGTGCGTAATCATTTTAGATACACATTATGAAGATAAAGTTATCGAAATATTATTAAACACATATAAAAGTAATGTTTCTTGCTTAAAATTATAAAAATTAAATTTAAATTTCAAACATTGGATTTAGGTTAGGTAGTTCTACATTATATTTTATATTTTTATAAAAAAACGATTTAAATGACAAAAATAATTTTTTATTAGCAATATTATTTATGAAATAAAATTATTAATGAAAAGAATTACTATTTCAAGGAAAATTTCATTCACATTCGAATAACTTGTGACTATATTCGATGTACCATCTGTATCCTCGTACAAGTATAATAAACATACTAAAACTATCCACTCAACGAGTTACGAAAATAACAGCGTGAACAGAAGCAGAAATTTTCACTAACGAATTATTTTCGTATCACTTTTGTATTTTGCTCATATATTAAAATATTATAATAAATGTTACATTTTCATCAAATAAAAAAATATTTATTTTAAATCAACAAAATTGCTTATTCAAAATTTATCATTTTAACCTATACACATTTATAAAAGCGGTCGATAACTGTTAAGCAATCGAAAATATTCAATTTCATAAAATTCAGAATATTACGCGTATGACAATACTTATTCATTACGGTTTATTTGAAATTACGTATCGAGGTCACTGATTCGCGTGACTAAGGTATCCAAGAATGCACAAGATCTCCCGTGGCTGGTTAGAGCGCTCTAGAACGCCGAAGATCAAGAGAGCAAAGAGTCGGTTTAAACCGTGTGCCCCGTCCTAACGTCGACTCTATTAATACCCGCGCCTTGTCGTCGCGTCTCGAGAACGTGTGCACAGATATAGAAGCATTAATACGACTGTCCTTTTTATTAAAAAATCTTCTGTTCTTAGCATCGACAAATCGAACAAGCATTTTCGAGTTGATCTCGATACGACTAGTACATAAGAAAAGATAAACAAATCGAATACTAGAAAATAATCGAAACAATTTTAACGCTTTAAAAATCGAGGTATCGAAATCTATTTCAAGATTGTTATTCTACAAAAATAGAAACATCGAGGGTCTATCGTTACGATTGATTAAATCAATTTAAAAAGTTTGTACAAAAATATATTTAAATGTAATCTCGCGTGTATTTTTCCTTCGCGAATTTCATTATTTTACGATAAAATTTCGACAACATGATCTTCGATATCATCGATTCTCGAATACGAGAAACGAAAGGAGTTACAGTTTTAACAGGACATGTCGTAGATGTCGTACAAGTGCATTCGCAGTCAATTATGTGATCAGCTACGATCATTCGCTTCATGAAGCTATTAGGAACAAGTTAATAGAATCATCGCACCGTTCCAATGTATGATGGGTTATGGTAAACAGAAAGAGAAAAAGGTACAAACTGTTACGATTCTAACTTAGCCTACAGATGTCGTACGAAGTCTTAAGCTCGATCGAGCCAGTGCAAATACTTAATCGACAATGTCATTTCACCCTTGTGAAAAGTTCCTTCACCGATTCGAATCGATAATTGATCAAAAGATCACTGTCAAAGTACAACTATATTTAGCGATTTGTTGAACAAGCCTTAAATTAGAAATAGAACGATACTGAGTAAAATATACCCTAACCATAAATATTTTTTTCTATTTTCTTCATATTCACTCACCTTTGACGATAAAAAGTTAAAAGACGATTAAAGTCTCGTGAGATTAAAAATAGCAGCAAGAGATCAATCAGGCGACCACGGTCCAAGAAGGAAGGTAAGGTTAAAATACACCTTCGCAAGTTTTCACTTGTTCCTTTTTTTCACAACCACCGTACGTATGTTACTTACACCCTTATTTCATTCGTTCCCCGAAATAAGAAATTTCGAGCGAGAACACCGGATCGCGAACAAAAAAAAGCATACGCGAGGAACGTACACCAAGTGTGGTATTGAGCAAGCTATTGGGCTCACTCTGCGAGGGGCACGGCACGTGCTGGGGCTCCCTCGACCGAGTCGCGACTGATATCATTTCCAGCGGGGGACTGTGGGGTCGGCAGCCAGAACCCCACCAGGGGGTCTTCGTGCAACCCCCACGCGGTGTCGTAGTAGTCGTGTTCGCCGTCGTGGTTGTAGCTCGTTGTCGTGGCTCCACCGTTGCTAGCCTCTCGAAACCCCCTTTGCACGTACAGGGAATAAGGGACCAGGATGTATACGTACATCATGGGGAGAGAGATTCTCTCTCTTTCTCCTCTCATATCGCGATCCTTCTATCGTTCTCGCTCGCACTCTCTCGCTCTTACACTCCCACGTATCTTTCTCACCTCTGTCTCGTTTCTACGCGCACTTTTATCGTCTACCTCGCTCTTCGTTCCTCCGCGTACTTCTCTCTCTTTGTCCGTATCTCTATCCTCGTTCCGCGCAACGCGTCAGGTCGAAGCGTTTGTTTCTCTTTCGCCGTTCTACTAGCTTCAGTTCGGTTCAGTGTAAAACACGCGCAACACCAACACGACCATACATTCTTCCTCCCCCGCCCGTGGCCCCCTCCCCTCGCGCGAATCCCTTACCCCCTACGTATCCAGCAGCTTTATCCACCCTGAACCCTCCTATGTACGAGGGTTGCTTCTCGGCAGGCCTGATCGGACGTTCGCGAGAAGGGACTTTCCCCTCTGCCTCTCTACACCGCCCTAACCATGCTTTTTTTTTCGTATTTCAGATTCGAGCTTGTTTCACTCTCGAGAAAAATTTTATCCCACATATTACATTTCATGACCTCTTTAGTATTTCAACGAATATTGTAAAATATCGTATTATTATAAATACAAATCATAGTGTTTTTTAAAAACGGAATGATTATTCAGCAATTAAAATTTTTCATTTTGGCTGATATTCAAAACTAATTATATTTTATTTATTTTTATGTGTATCATATTCCTTCTTTTTTTTCATTTTATTCTCAATTTACAATGAAGGATTTAAAATGTTTTTAATGGTTTGATAAGATGCTATCGTAAAGAAATTCGGCTTTAAATTGGAGGAAAAGCCAATTTTCAAATGGATGACAAAGAAGATTTTTGGTATACGAGTATCGTTTTTCAACAAAGTCCTCGAGGGCAATATTATCGATGCATTATTCGATTCAAAAAGTAAACTCGTATAAAAGACCTTGGAACATATAACTGCTCGTTAAAGAATATCGCAATACGATGAACACTGACTGCAATGGGCACTGACGTAATCATCACATTTATGTAGACGCTCATATTTGATGCGAACCTACATACGTACGCGTAAATTATAATAGTCGTATTCAATTCCTATATCTAGATTCATGTATTAATATAATTTTAAAAAAAATCTCTTTCATCAAATTTGAAATCTTGAATGATATAATTGAAATTAAATGAGAGAAACTTGAATTTTATCGCCAAGTAGTGAAGAGATATTTTTATATTTATATATTAAATTAAATATGGAAAAATAAATAAAACAATATCTTATTACAATATATAATTGATTGTTCACGCTCGAGGTGACCGGGCGACCAATTCGGGGGCAGCGAGCGAATATCGATTCGTTATTTTTAGGGGTAGTCCATCCATGAACCCCACCTTCGTCGCGCCCCCGTTCGAAAATTTGTCTCTAATGAATTATTATTATGAATATATTTATAAATCTAGTTTGTTCTATGAAGTTAAAGAAATAAATAAGAAAAATAAAAAAAATAAAATATAATAAAACATAAAAAGTAAGAACAATTTTATAACAATTATAATATTTTGTTATTAAAAAATATTTTACATAGGAAAAAAATGTAATTTGTATCGAATAGTTAAAAAGTTATAGTAATTTAAAAGATTGAAATAATATATATATGTTATCTAAAAATTATATAATTTATTAATTTAAATAATTGTAGATAATAAATGTTAGTACATATCTAAAAATAAACTAAATAAAAATTTCTTTAATTAATTTTAAAATATTTATTGCACAGCTGATTAAATTTCTTTAAATAAACAATTCTAGAAAAATAAATACATTGATATAATTTTATTTTTATTATAATTTTTATTTATAATTTATATTTTATCATTATTTTAGTCAATATATAAAATTTAATATCAACAATAATAAAAAATGTTATTATTATAATTACACATGATAATTATGATAAGGCATTTTCATAATTTTTATTAATTCGTTATATAAATATGTTAAAATTAATATTAATTTTTAATCTTAAAATCAATTAATTATTTTCATTTGAATTAATATTATTAATTAATAATTAATTTGAAAATAAATTATATTATCATAACATTTAAAATTATTTACAAAAGTAAAAATACAAAATATTTCTTTTTCTTAAATTAAAATTTAAGCATAACTGATTAAGCTCTGCTTTTAACATTAACAATTATTTGTCAAGACCATGTATACAAATTATTTGAAAATTTAATATTTTCTATAATTTGAACATAGGCTGGATCAGGACTACAAAAATGTTTTAATAATTCACTATTAAATCCACAATCGCTCAAATTTTCTTTGCCAAAAACATATTCTGGAATTGGTACATTTTTGGATTCCGTTTGTTCTGTGAAAAAAAAAATTATTAGTTCTTTATAATATTTGTATTACAAAAAAAAAATCATAATTTTGGAAAAAAATATATATATACATATATATATACCAAATTTCTGTTTCATTGCTGAAAATGAAGTTGTCGAACCTAACTGTGCACAACTGGCAGAATATTGTTCTAGCTGGCTAGATTTCATTAAAAAACAAAGAGAAGGCAACACATGAGGCAAAAGTGGTCCTTTTAATTCCAAAGAAAAATATCTTTCTTTGTCAACACGAACTGTACTTTCTTTAACCTTTAAAAATGAAAATAATTTTCAATTTATATTATATTATTATAAATATTTATATTATTTATTATTATTTTTATAAATATAAATATTAAATATTAAATATTAAAGTATGATACCTTAATTGGTTTTAAAGTTGCACCATGAAAAGCTACTGGTGAGAGAAGAGTTGGAGGCACACCTGCCAAAGGACCACTTGTTGTAATGGCAGATTTACAATTAATTAAAAAATTAAATAAAGCTTGTGCATCAACACCTTTTACAAAAATAAGAGATTGTTTCATATTATCTATTTCAGTTTGTTTTTCTAATGTTATTCTTGCCTGCAATGAAATTATATATTTATAAATACTGTGTAAAACAAAATTGCATGTATTTGAAAATTACCTGAGAATTATTAATTTTACGAATTTCAGAATTTTCAACTCCTAAACTTTCCAACCATTCATCTTGTGTTTGATCTTCTTCATCATCAGGATTTTCATTCTCAGTAAAGTTTGATGTATTTGATAATGTTGAATCCACAGTGTCACATCCTGAATCAATTGTATCTGATCGTCGTTTAGAATCTTTTTTCAAAGGCATTGTATATTCAATTTCTATAAAAAGATAATAAAATAATATGAAATTTTTCCAATATATTATATATATATATATATTTTTTATACCTTCTTGTTTCAGAGATTCTCTAAAACCACGTGTTGTAGGTGTCAAAAGTGCATGAGCTTCAGAAATTCCACATATTCCAGCAGCACGGAATAATACAGTAAAATTGTTTGCACACACATAAAAATATGGACATTGCCGTGCTCTTAATAAATGAAAAAGAGATCTAAAACTTTCACTCCATTCTTTATATAAAGCTTCTTTGATGGCTATATTGTTTACTATTGTTGTATTACTTGTTAAATTTGCACTCACTTTGCCAGCAGAGCGAGGAAATAATTCTAACCATGGTAATGAAGGATGTTGCCATATTAAACAACATCTGTGCAATCTGGTCAATAGATATTTTAATCAATTGATCTATCTTTTCTATTGAATTAAAATATATAAAACAAAATATTATAAAAATTACCTTGCATTTGGACTAGTATCTAAAGTTGAATCTTGTTCACTAATATCCAAACATCTTACAAAACCAGTAGTACCCGATGCTTCTTCGCTAGTTTTCAATTTACAATTCCATGGAAATGGTTTTGGGGACATAAATCTCATTTTAGTTTTTAAAGTCCAATCCATTGGAATATATTTTTCTCCTTTTGGAATTTCTGAATCCAGAATATTCTTATTTGTTTCCAATTGTAGAAATGCATTACTGAATGTTAATGGACAATCAAGCATTAAATTCTCAATTTTATTTTTTTTAGGAGTTTTAAGTTTTAATAATTCAAATAATGTATTATCATTACTAGTTTCCAATTCTGGAGATGTTACATTCAATTTTTTATTTTTTATTTCATCCTTAGCAAAAGGATTTTTTCTCTTTTGACCTACACATTCGTTAGATTCAATATTTTGTTTATTTTCAATTGTTTTTTGAGTAGATCCTAATTTTGAATTTTCTCTGTTAATGCGTGTATTATTTATACGTGCTTGAAGTGCACGTTTTTTCATTTTTAGACGATGCAACTGCATTACTTCGTCTGGTCTTTTCCATTCTAACAGTTGCACTTTGTTTATATTCTCCATTGGAAATTGAAATAAATTTTGTCATCCTATCAGATAAAAAATATAAATAACTTACTAATAATGATAATAATGATATTTAATATTAAAAAAATTGAATTATAATATTAATTTTTCTTTAAAAATTTCGTTTTTGAATTACAATTATAGGTTAGAATTTTAAATATTTTATATTTCTATTTCTTTCAGAATGTTAAATATTTTTTAAAAATATTGTAAGAAGATAGATATAAAATAGTTAGATATACATACGGCTATTTAAAACTTTTTTTTCAATTTAAAAATATCGTCAATTAAATGAAGATTCCGACACTCATTAAAATCACTTCTAAACTCACTACTACACAAGATGTAGTAAAATAAACAAGATGTCGCACCGAACGCATATATTATCTTTACTATAACTATACTTTATTATAATTACTTTTTACTTTTACTAATTTCTAACTGTACTATATTATATATATAATATATACATACATATAATATAGAAAAATTTCAGTATATTTATTTTATTTTCGAATATTTCAAATTATATTTTATTATTTAAATAATAAAAAAATACATAATTTTGTTTTTAAAAAAATAATTAAAAGAATAATAAATAAATTAATTTTAATATTTTTATTCTATTTTATTAAAAATATAACAAGAATAAAATATTAAAATTAATTTATTTATTATTCTTTCGATTATTTTTTTAAAAATAAAATCATATATTTTTATATTATATTGCATAATATATAAATTTAAATCATAGATTTCTATAATATTAAAAATATAACAAGAATAAAATATTAAAATTTATTTATATAATTTATTTCCCTTTATTCTTTAAATTATTTTATATAATTAAATATATAATTAATGCATATTATATGATATTTTTATTTTCGGTGCAGTTTTGAATAGAAGAAAATATTATATAAATTCGTATCATTGCTTTAGCCAATAAGAAAAGCCAATAAGCAATTAGTATGTGACGTTATTCAGTTATTAAAAATCGTGACAGGATGTGTTGTTTTCGGATCGATAAAAGTGCGTGATATTTGCAAAATTTTTATTGATATAATTTATAGACTATTGTTAACTTTTTATAATTAATACTTCGTTGTTTAATGATAATTTATTGTAAAATTTTTTATTATTTCGAAAGAATCACATTTACAAATGACCAAACATAGTTTATCGTGCCGTTTGCATTTAGTTTTTCTTTATACATATTTGTAAAAAATTTTAACACATAACTATTATAATTTTTTTTATCGAAAACATAACTTTATTAGATATAGGTATGTAATATTGTCTTTTATTTATTACGATCAATTTCATTGAATTAAATTAAGACGCATTTTTTGTCTTTTTTTTATTTATATATTTATGCATTTGTTATGTATACTTAAAAAAAAAAATGTTCTGAAAATATATAAAACTGAAAATATATAAAATATAAAATATTTCTCACTGAAAATATTTCTTACTGAAAATATTTCTTACCACAATCTTTCTAGTGATTCGTGCTTACACGATATGTTGCCAAACTATCCCCTCTCCAATTTGAAATTCAATAGGCATAACGACGCAAGATTTCATTATTGTGTCGACATTTGTAGTGTTTAGACGTCGTTTCTCTTCGTGCCATGTGTAATTTTTCTGGTGCATATTTACTTTACTTTCCAAAACTATATTTTTTTATTATATAATAATATTCAATTAATAACATATTTATTATCATAATTGATCTTTTGAAATTAAATTATTTTTTTTTATCGATTTATTTAGATTGGCAAATACAACAGATTTCAAAGATGAAATTTTAGGTTGATTTTTGTCTTATTTCAATATAATTATTTTTGTAAATACATTTGATACATTTATTTTAAATTTTTTATTTTCTTTTGTGATTAGATCATTAGATAATTGCTGCAACAATTTAGAAGGCGGAAAAAGGATTTCAAACATAGACGCCATGATAATTGATATTTTAGAGATTAGAGGTAAGTGTAACAAATTTTTGTAGCAAGTATTGAGCTTCAGTTGATAATATCGAACAATATAACTTATCAAAAGTGCACAGCAAGTGCTGCCACATGATAAGTACATATTTCTAAAAATTGAGATGAGAAAATATACAATATTTTAAAATATTCAAAGTGGATATTAAACATTTCTTTTTAAAAAAATATTTTTTTCTTTTGATAATTTATCGTACGATTTATCATGAAATAAATTCGGTTTAAAAATATTTTTGGTCCCTTTATTTATATTTTCTTAGTTTTATTTTGGTACATAGAAAGTTTTGTGAAATTTTCTTTTCAAAATAAAACTTTAAGATAAAGATCCTATAGAACTATTTTACCTTCGTCGTGATATGATAGATATGTATCTATTCGAAAATATATAAAAATTATTATGAAAAAATGAGGAAAAGGAAGTGAGATATAAGGTTATATGCAATTGTAAACAATATATATACAACGTTCGATCGCATATTTTTATTTCGAAACATCGAATTTCCTGACGTCTAAATATCCGCAACGCTGATACCAATGATAAGATGATTGTGAAATGTACTTATTATCAACGTCTCATTAAAGCATTATTAGGAAGGGCCAAGCTGCTTCAGCGTTTCCAAGTCTTGTATTTTTTTTTTTAATATTATTTATTTTGCGGTGCGTCTTTCCATCGATCCATCGATTTTGTAAATCGACATTTAGCAAAATGAATTTGCAAATCTAAATGGGCGCATACATTGACAACATCCATTGATCTAAAAATGTTTTCAACATTTGGAAGTAGGAAAGGGGGAAATAGGAAGATGTGTAGAGAATACGAACCTCCGATTTTTATTTTTTTTCTTTCTTTGGTTCGCCATTCTCTCTCTCTCTCTCTCTCTCTCTCTCTCTCTC